TAACATCCTTCCCCGTCACTCGGCAGCCCCCGGAGAACCACACGCTGGTGTGCACAGGAGTGTGGGTGGAACCACCCACTGAAACCCCACACTCACCCCTCCACACCCCTGGACACCCCCGTGAGCCCCAGGACTGGGACTGGCATCGCCTATGGGGAGTGAGAGTGCAGCTGTGGGCGCACTGAGTGCTGGGGTTGTTTGGGGGTGCTCCCAGCACCCCCATCTCCCCAGCCCTTGCAGGATGAGGGGGTAGCCACTGTCTGCCACAGAGTGCCTATCAGGAGTGGCTCAGAAGCTAGGGTCCAGCCAGGAGACCATGGCTCTCAGTACCTCCAAGCACTTTAGTGCCTTTGTCTGTCTCCCTGGGCTGTGAGCACTGTGGGGGTTGCTGGGCTGCAGGAGTACCTGCCTGCCACCTGTGTGGATCTTGGGCCAGGCCCAGACTGGCCTACCCCATCCTGACCCCTGCGGTGCACGGTGGGCCAACCATATCTCTCCTCTGAGTTTTGTCCCAGAGAGGGGATGTGACCTGCCCTGAATCATGCAGTTGCCGACTGAACAGCAGACCCCAGGCCTGGCTCTTCCCCCTGACCCCCAGTCCCCCAGTAGAGGAGGGACTTTCAGGCAATTCTGTCAGAAACCAGGGGTTCTTTGGGCCACTCAGAAGACAGAGCTGGTGTATTCATATTTTCTTTCTGTATTCATTCTCTTTCTGCACAGAGTTTTCATGTTTCTACTTTGTGCAGGCTCCAGACGAGAGATTGGAATTGAGTATTTTGTTTTGTTTTGTTGGTAGAGGGAGGGACAGTTACAATCTCACAGGCTTATGGGAAGAAAATGATTAAGGGGGCTGGCGTGGTGAGAAGATGCTGTAGGAAATGCGGCTGGGCCCACCCAGGGCCCCCTTGTCTAAAGACCCACCTCCTTCCACAGCTGCTGTTTGGTGCCCAGTGCTTACAACCCCAGAGACTTCCGAGAGCCAGTCAGAGCTGCTGACAACAGAGGCGGGAAGGCAGTAGCCCCTCTTCCTTCCAGGGCCTCTTTCCAGGGCTTTCCTGATGGGAGGACAGGAGCCTGGCCTTTGCCTCAGGCAGGAAACTTTGCTGAGAGATGATTTACTCTCCAGAGCCTCCACGTCAGGCCAGATCAGACTTTCCTTGCGACGCCTCTCCGCCTGCCTATCCTGCTCCACTAGCTCATGTGGGTTTTCCTGAAGAAGCACCCTCTCTAATCTTGTGCCCCTGAATCCCTGCCTCAGGCTCTGCTTGGTGGGAAGCTGACATAAGACAGATGGGAAATGGGACACAGTGTATCTAAATATATCCAAATATAACCTTGTAAACACTACTCGTGGAGGCTCTGCACTTCGATAGAACAATCTCCAGGCATGTTGTTTTTGGAAAGAGAAAATAACTTGAATGTACCAGACAGCCTGGATTGGAAGAAGAACCTAGAAATTCACTGGTTGAACACTCCTGGCTGGATAGAACACATTCACAGCAGGTGCCCACATTAGGAGGGCTAGTTCTGACGGTGTGTGTACTGCATGTGTGGAGAACACCAACCAAACTCTGGCATGGAAGGTCCACGTGGCCCCTACTGGACTCCAGCCTATGAAACAGGGGTTGCTGGCCAAGCCCATGTCCAGCTTCTGGTGGCCTCTTGCCCAGCCAGCACCCTAGAGGGTCCTCCCAGACTGTGCTCATAGAACCCACCGGGAATCCCTATGGTGGGTCAGGGAGTGTGAAAAGGAATCCTTTTGACCTGGTCACTTTCCATCGCCTTTCAAATCTCAGCCTCCTCCAGGAAGTCCACAGGGAGTGTTCCCTTCTCTAAGCATCTCTAGCCCTGTCAGCAGGCTTCAGCTAGCTCAGTTATGAGAAGCTGGTTACAGCCTTGAGAGAGGACAACTTTTGAATCCAGCTGAGTACACAGGATGGGCACACAGTAGATAGAAGATACTGGAGAAATAAATACCTCCAGGGTGGGCAGGCTAGGGTAGTTCTCCAAACTCCTATTCACCCTCCAGGTCACAGTGTAGATGCCACCACATATCAGTCACCATCCCGTGACCTCCACATTTGCAGCCTCTATTGCTTTGAAGGCTGGAACTCTGTCAGTCTTGTTCTCTGCTCTGTCCAAGTGCTCAGTACACAGCTTGGCACAAAGAAGTTGTTCCATAAATGCCTGTGGAAAGAAAGAGTCTCTGGAGAAGTGGCCAAGCTGAGTTCGAGGGTAGACGCTCCGTGTAGGCAGGTCCTGCGCCTTTCTCGTACATGTGCAGGGCTAAAAGCACGCAGTGAGAAGAGGCTGTCAAAATGAGCCTGCCCCTAGCATAGTCAGGATCCCAAGAACAAGGGACAGAGGCTCACTTAAGCTGCCCCAAGCAATGAGGTCTGTTTGAGGATATCTGTGGCCACGACAGAGTCCAGGATTCTACCCGAATAAGCCCAATAACACTAGCTGTCGCTTACCGTGCACCTGGCACTGGGCTGAGCATTTTATCTCCACTTTTACATTTGTAGTGGAGAAGGGAATGGCAACAAACTCCCGTATTCTTGCCTGGAGAATTCCATGGACAGAGGAGCCTGGTGGGCTACAGTCCATGGGGTCGCAAAGAGTTGGACACGACTGAGCAACTAACGCTACTACTACATTTGTAGAGAATAAGAGGAAGCATGGTTAGTGCTTACATCAGTCCCCCTTCCCAGTGGTGCCTTTTTCATCAAGTCTTGGAAGAAGGGTAATTCCAAGCACTCATAGTCAGGCACTGAGCGGGTAAATCTTTCTTCTTCCTACCTTAGGTAGGGGCAGTCAGGAGGGGAGCTGAGATCCGGGCCATCAATGAGACACCCTCCCAACTTCAGATCCTCAGTGGGGGAAGCTGGGATGGAGGAGTGGGGAGGGCTGATGTCCTCAGGGCAGTCTTGGGGAGCCCCCGTGAATTGGGGTTCCTGCAGGAAACAGACGGCGCATGCCTAGGAGCTTTTTGAGAGGAGTTTAGTGCAAACAGTTTGGGCCAGGGGAAGTCCACAGGGGTTGATACGGCAGCCTGAGGGGCAGAGAGGGGAGGTCACACACGTGTAGAGAGAAGCCGTGGATGCAGCTGCCCCGGGAGTTATGACCTCAGTAGGGGACCACCTGGGGGGCACACACTCTCACCTCTCTCTCCCACTTTTTCTGACCCTCCCAGGGGTGAGTGGAAGCCATAACTGTTTACCAGCTTGTTTCTTGTATCTCCTGGAAATCTGTCCCCAGGCTTGGCCTCTGGTCTCCTGTTGGTGCTCTATGCCCCCATATAACCTCCTAGAAAATCCTGTCTGGCTTAAGTTTTCTAGAGTTGGCTCTGCTGCTCACACCTACAAACTCAAAGACGCGATGCCATTATGGTTCCCTTTCAACAGATGAGTAAGCTGAGCCTCTGAAGAGTTTTGGCTTGTGGTCACACCACACAGGCAGAAGTGGCTGGTGAATCAAGCTATGAATGCTGGTGCAGCTCCGCTTAAAGCTCTGAGCCCTGAAGCACAGTGAAGCTGGCCTCGCCCGGATCTGGAAGGCCACAGGGGTCCCAGGCAGTGGAGGGCCTGCGTTATCTCATCACTCCCTCAGTAGGAGTGTGAGGGGCGTGATATGGTTGTACCACACTGTTTGCTTCTTTCCATGGCTGGCTGACTGCTTTTCTTCCCATTGCTAACTGACTGTCCAATCCATGGTGACCCAGTGGCTAGGGAGCAGATGCTTGTGGTAAGAAATACGACCCCCTGCTCATGGGGCTGGGGTGGGGAGACTCGGGCAGTTCAGACAGAATGAACAGAGAGCTCACAATGGCCCTGGGTAGGACTAGCTGGAAATTAGTTGTGAGGTGGAGGCAGAAGCATCTAGGAGTGGGGATGGGCTGTGACGTGGCCCCAGCCTATTGTGCAGCTGGACGCCCGAGACTCAGAGAGCAGGAATGGACCTTGGAGACCTGCCTTTCTCACCCCCAGGCTTGGTCAGGGTCCTGAGGCCCACAGACTTTGTCCTCCTTAGGGTGGAATCCCCCATCCTCACCTAGTCTCCCCATCTCCCCATCTGGCCCTGACACCCACATCCATCACTGAGGAGAAATCCCTGGCTTTTGTGCATAAGCATAGATGTTTTATGGGAAATTACCTAAGTTATAATCCAATTACACAATAATTACATTGGGATGGCTCTGTAACTATAGCATTAATTAACTTTGATGGCTCCCATAAATTATGTGGGAGATTTATAGTGGAGAAAGGGTGAGTGCAGTCCAGTGGGTGGGAAGTGGGCTGGGAACCCCCGAGGGGATTGAGGGGTAATAAGGAGCGGGCAGGAGATACAGAGGGGAGGTCAGCTCACAGACTGGGTGGGAGTTAAGGGGGATAGGGGACAGTTTCCTGAGAGTCAACCTACATGCTGCACCGGAAGTTCTGGGCCCTTTGAGAGTGGGAGGGGGGTTCAGGGAACTAGCTCCCTCCTGGTCTGCAGAGGTCAGCTCTCTCCTACGCCTCTGCTCTTGAGAACAGACTCTGTCTTCCCTCAAAGGACCACTTAGGGCTGAGCCTGGCATCCCTTTGACTCGCCTCCCACCCCAAATTGCTTGTCCAAGTGTTGCACTAGTGAGCCACTTGGACATCCCTGGAGATGTTACAGAGGGGACACTGCAGTCACTCCCTTGGACCCAGCAGTGTGACTCTGACCAAAGAGACAGGCAGCACCAATGTGGGTTGGAACGTGGAGCAACTGGGTCTCTCCCTCTCTACTGATAGGCTGTGAACTTGAACAACTGCAGTACTTACTGGAGCTGAACATGGGAACACATGAATCCAGGAATTCCACTCCTGGGTGTATAACCCACAGAAATGTGTACGTGTGTTCAAGTGAAGATTCTTCAGAGGAGCACTATACTTGGCTGTCAAAAACGGAAACAACACAAATGTCCTTCCATGTAGAATGGGTAAGTGAACTGTGGACTGCCCACTCCATGGACTATTCTACAGCAGTGCAATGAAAAAGCCACAGCTATGCACAGCAGCAAGGCTGAATCTCTCAGACAAAATGTGGAGTGAAAGAAAGTGAAAGTGAGAATCGCTCAGTCGTGTCTGCCTCTTTGTGACCCCACAGACTGTATAGTCCATGGAATTCTCCAGGCTGGAATACTGGAGTGGGTAGCCTTTCCCTTCTCCAGGGGATCCCCCCAACCCAGGGAATGAACCCAGGTCTCCCACATTGCAGGTGGAAATTTTTTTATACCAGCTGAGCCATAAGGGAACCGTGGGGTGAAAGAAGCCAGACATTAGAGCACATTGTATGTGATGTTGAAAACAGGCAAAATCAACCTGGTGCTAGACATCAGGGCTGTGGGTCTTCAGTGAGTGGGAGTTAACTGGAAGGGGCTGGGTGGGGGTGGGGGTGGGGGTGCCTTCTGGGTCCTTGACATGTTCTGTCTCTTGATCTGGAATTAGCTCTATAGTGTCTGAACCGTGTAAAGATCCATCGACCTATAACCGTGTGATTTGTGAGCTTTCTCTTCATATGTTACAGTTCAAAAGAAATTTGAAAGAAAAGTCACATTAGCTGAATTGTCTCTCCCCAGAGCTCCTCCTCCGTCTTGGTACCCCTGGGCCCCACAGTTCATTTTTACCTCCTCTTTTCTCCACGTAGAGTCAGCCCCCTAAACTCCTTCCCCACAAGCCTGCCTCGTCCCTGGCACTTAACCCAGTCCCTGGCATTTCCTGCCCTAATTGTGGAGGACTTTTAGCTTCACCCAAGCACCCCTACCCAATTCAGCTCCACCAACAGGTCCAACACACCAGGGGGGTGCTCATGGAGGGGTGGGGGGGCTCACGGACGGGACACAGTTTGCTTGGAACGCAGATCTGTGACACTTTATGCCATTAACCTGTCCCTCGGGGTCTCATTCCTCACCCTAAGGGGCAGACCAAGAGATTTTTTTCATACTAAATACAGTGCAGCCTTCAAGAGGAATTCTCAGGGTGACTGAAAAGACAGTAGAAGTGTCTCCTTATTCCTCTTGTTTTACAGAAGGGCAGACACAGGCCCCGAGAAGCTGAGGCATCTGTGCCAATAGAAATGGGGAGAAAAAAAAAGAAATGGGGCCAGAACCAGGGTCACCTCACCTTCCACCCAGCGCTCCTTCTCTCCAGGACCGGGGATCCTGGGTGGGACAGTAGTTGGGTGTGGGCTGCAGCTGTGGCTGCCCAGGCTTTGCATACAGGGAGGAAATGCCCCAGCACCCTCACCCGGGCCCATTTGTTTGAGGGGCTGTATCTGCAGACATATACACTGCAAGTCTCAGATAGTGTGGACACACAGGCGGAGAGGAGCACCGAGGAAAGGACAGCGAGCCAGACATGGGGCACCCCAGATGCCTAGCCCATTAATTCAGACCTCTAAGCCCTGGAAAGTTCCCAAACTGCCGGCAGACATCACGTTTACATCAAACCTCAGTCTCCTTCCTCCTCCTGATCCTACAGCAAATGGGGGTCTCCCAGGGCCTCACTAGTCCAGGGCTGGAAAGAGATCAGGAGAGGAAATGAAATTACGCAGTACACATATTAGCCTTGGGATTGACATGGGGCCTTCTTCTTAGCCTCTGATTACGGATTGCTAAATTTTGTGAGCCTTCAGCAGTGGTGTGCTGCTAAATGTTTAACTGACTCTCTGAGGGGGGAAAAAAAGAAGAAGACAAAGCCCTGCTTTGCAGTATTTGCCGATTTCCATGGTGTAAATTTTTCACCATGGTCCATTTTTCACTATCAACCTAAGGTCAGTTGGCTCTCAAAATTTCTGAAAATTTAACAATTAAGGGAGCTGGCTCCTACAGGAAGTCCTGGTGAGGGGAACTGGGCCTTTAACACTCCACACACTAGTAGGTCTGGGAATTTGTCTACAGGGTCGTCAGAAAACATGCGGTGGTGGCAGGATGACAGCCTCTTAGGTCCTAAGGCAGTTGGTGGCCCCTTTGTTTCCAGGGCATTTTTGCTAGTTTTGCCTGAAGTATGAAGGAGTTGCCAGTAGGACTGAACTGAGAGCGTGGAATATGCTTGTTAAGAAAAAGTGCCAGCAGAATTAGAAAGCCAAAGGAACCTTAGTGCTCATCCTATTATAAGCATGTCTTTTCAAGGTATTAAGACAGTGATTTTTTTTGTTTGTTTTAAAAAAGGTCTTTCATCCATTATAAGACAGAATGTATCACAGTCGACAAAGCACTTTCACATGAATAATCTTGTTGGGTCCCCAGCAAAGCACTGTAGCCTGACTAGTCCCACTTCCCAGGTAACATAGGAAGACCATATCCTTTACCATCCAAACCAGGAGAGTGTTGAGACAGGCAGAGGGGGTACTCATTACACCAGGACAGCAGGAGTGAAGTGGATCCTTCCCATCATCCTGCAGGTGAGTTGGGCTGACTTTCTCAAGGTCACCCAGCAGGAAGGATGGGGTGCTACTCCTGGGCCTCCCAGAGGCTTCACAAGCTTGGGTGTCTCCCCAGATCTAAGACTCCTCGGCAGTCACTCACAAGGGGTGTGGGCACTCTGATCTTTGGAGCCCTTCCTGAGAGCCAGTCCTGAGGGGCCATGGCACAGAGAGCCTGTGATGAGGCTGGTAGCATCAGGGTATGGAGGGCTTAGGAAGGATACGCCTTTAAAACTCTACCAGCTCATTGTACTTTCTCTGCATTGAGTAGTTTCACCCACAAAGTCTGGCCCCTAAATGCGAGCCCCGACTTTGAAAAGCTTGCTGGGAGGCAGAGGTTGGGGTTGGAGGGGGCAGGGAGAGATTGCTTGTACCTTTCCTGTTCTCTCTATTCCAGCCCCATGGACACCCTGTCACTACACCCAGACTGCCGCCTGGTTTGCAACAGGGGAAGCTGCCTCAGAAAGCAGTCTCTACCAAGCCATATTTGCCTCCTGCTTTGTGCTGGTGGGGAGGATGGGGTGTCCTTATAAGGGATAGGAAGGAATAGACCATCTGTGTCAGGTCACTCTGCCCATCCCAGTTTGGAGCCCAGTCCTCATCTTGCAAGACCTCATTAGCCAGGAGTCCAGCGCTTCCCCTGGAGGAAAGAGTAAAGCCCCCTTCCTGAGATCTCAAAGCCATGGTCACGCCTTGTTACTGGGCTGGAGGGTGTCCATGCCTCTTGTGTCCTGCTAGAGGGCAAACCCCTATGCAGGCAGCCTATCTATCTCACTTAATGCTCCTTCTTCCAAGAGCCCTGTGCAGAGGAGGCTCTCAGCAAGTGTGCAGGAGTCGGATTGGGAGAGGAGCCTAGACTCGGTGTGACACAGACCTGTTATCTGCCACTTTTCATAACAGTTAATCTATTCAACACTTACTATATGCCAGACATGGCCCTAAGACATGAAAGAAAGAAAGTGAAGTCACTCAGTCGTGTCCAACTCTTTGTGACCCATGGACTGTAGTCAGCCAGGCTCCTGTGTCCATGGGATTTTCTAGACAAGAATACTGGAGTGGGTTGCCATTCCCTTCTCCACGGGGATCTTCCTGACCCAGGGACCGAACCCCGGTCTCCTGCATTGCAGGCAGACTCTTCACCGTCTGAGCCACCAGGGGATCCCACTGGCCCTCAGACCTGCCATGTATTAATTCAATTAATCCTCACTATGACCCTAGGTTTGGCTTCCCTGGTGGCTCAGCTGGTAAAGAACCCACCTGCCAATGCAGGAGACGCAAGAGATGCAGGTTTGATCCCCGAGTCGGGAAGATCCCCTGGAAAGGAAATGGCAACCCACTCCAGTATTCTTGCCTGAAGAATTCCGTGGACAGAGAAGCCTGGAGAGCTACAGTCCATGGGGTCACAAAGAGTCAGACGTGACTGAGCCTGTACCACGTTTGTCACAGTACGATGACCCTAAGTACCTAGGGCAGTGGGTACTATTTTTCCACCATTTGTCAGGGGAAGCTGAGGTTCAAACTTGGGGAAAAAATCTAGTGTAAGGGTGTGAGATGTAGAGCCAGATGACTTGCATTTATAGTCTGACTTTACTGTCTTGGGCAATTAAACTCCCTATGCCTCAGTTTCCCTATGAGTCAAATGGGACTACTAATAATTCCTTTCCCATTCCCAGAGGAAGTCCTGCCTCTCCCAGGGTTTCTGGGAGGATCAAAGGGGATAATGGATGTGGATGCTCTCTGTAAATCACAGGATGCTGTACAAATGTCAGGCATTAATATGTGTTGACTCGAACGCCCTCTCTCAGAGTCCCTCTGTACTTCAGAACCATGGTTCTTCCAAAAACCAATCCCCTGGGATCAAAACTGGCATTTCCTAATCCCCTGCAAGCACAGAGGCAATTTGATGTCCACAAAAGACTTCTTAGGAGAATTCGATGACCTGATTAAAAAGGAAGTTGTGGGGGCAGGCGTCTATCTTGTAAAAAACATTGCCAAGGCCCTGTCTTCAGTAAGGCTGTCCAAGAGGGATTTTTTTATCCCCTTCTTTCTTTTTGGAAAAGTATTTAAAAATTACTAAACAATGCAGAGATTAGGAAATTCAGATTAGCATAAACATGAAAATTAAAACATCCTATAGCCCACTACCCAGAGAGAATTATTCTGAGTTCCAAGTAAAGTTTCTGGCCTATTATACTAGATAGAGCCAGGCATGCAGAAATTCTGAGGTCATGATCCCCTCACCCATGCTCCATGCAGAGTTCCTGACCAAGAAAGTCATGTCTGAGAAACAACAGCTGGATGGGACTCCAACTGCCACTCCATTCATAAATTTATTACTCGATCTGAGACTCTGGTAAGGGTTAGGATGAAAAACTCAGGCCTAGAAGACTTAGAGGGGCTTTCTGCTCCTTCCTTCCAAATTTCTGAGATAGCTGCCACTACAGGTCAGGACCAGCCCACCTTCTGCTCCAGGGTAGGGGTGGAGGAAGCAGAACAAAGGAGGATTCACACACTTGTGGCTTTTCAATGCAGTGAACTTGCCCTCAACTGAGGGAGGCACTTTAAATCCTGGACTTGGACCATTCCTAGCAGAAACTCCTCTTCCCTGATGGGATGTAAGAGAGGGAAGACAGTGGGAAGAAGAGCCAAAGCATGGGAAAGGGTGGGAGCTCCCTTCCCAGCAATTGCCATGGTTATTATTGTGGATAGCTGTTCACAATCTATTTTAATTATTTTCATGACAAAAAATACATTTCTACATGATTTTGTCTTTTAAATCTTAGTTGATTTTATTTTTAATGGTTAATACATGCATATGATAAATAATTCAAGCAATACAAAAGAAGATTGAATGAAA